GGTCATGATCCCAGGGTCCTGGGATCGAGCCCCACATCGGGCTCCCTGCTCGGCAGGAAGCCTGCTCTCCCTCTTCCACTCCCCCTGCTTGTGTTCCTGCTCTCAATATCTCTGTCTCTGTCAAATAAATAAGTAAACAAAATCTTAAAAAAAAAAAAAAATTGAACTTCTGTTCTTTGTACTTTAATTAGAATCTCCAGCCCCTAGAGTAGAAGGGCTAAAGAGAGAATGGGCATTCCATCTAATCCTTAAAACTGACTACCTGAGCCTTCAACAGTTGCTGGTCTAATGTGACACTGCATGCAAGAAATTCACAAATGTCTTTAACGAGCCTTTCTATATAGGTGTCACTGCCTTTACTTCTAGATTTAATTTCCAGGCATGACTGGAGTACTTTGATCCAGTTTTCAGGTTCCAGGAAAAATGAGCTTTCCTTTGCTATTCACTCTCACCTGCCATTCCTTAGCTTAACCAAGTATAAAAAGCTCAGCGATTGTCCTGGGCCCCTCAATGTACATTCTGCTCTACACTGTTCCTGTTTCCCCTTTGCTTCCTCATAGGGTTTCCTGCTCTGACCCTTTCTTTCATATGGTTTCCCTTACACCCCTGAACCCTTTTGTGATGTTTCTAGGCTTTATTACTGCATTGTTACTTGTTTATTCTTTTTTCTACTGCCTGTTCCCTCAGGGAGCAGCTAGAAATTCAAACCTTGGCCCTCATGTTGTTGCTAGAGATTTTACTGTATATTTGTAATAATTATTCAAGTACGTTCCAAAACAAACAAAAAACCCAAACAGATCGATTTCCCGCATCATTTTTGCTTGAAGATTGAACATTAGAAGTGATTTACTGTCAACCAAAGTCAAATGCAATCTGGTTTTCACATGGTTTTCTTCTTCCCATGGTGCAGTCATGAGTTTTGATAATCAAGATTCCGAGGTGTGTCCGTGTGTAGCAGGTTTTTTGTGAGGGTCCTTAGAAACCTACATTGGGATGGATCATCTTCAGGCTAGCTTCCTGCACTGGGCAGCTCCAGGTCGGAGGAGCTTGGCATTGAGAGCAGGGAGGGGTCTTTAGGGGCCTTTGAGATTGCAGTTTGTTACACATTTGATTTTTCATTCAAATTGGCAGTCTCTTTCCAAAAGGAGCACTATTCTCTCATCTTTAAAGTATGCTGAACAACAACAAAAAAAAGTATGCTGAGTTTAGTCAGTTTGGATACTAAGCAAATTATCGGAGAGTTCTCAAGATTTAGGAAGAAAAAGCCAAGCCATTTTACTCAACCAGGGACCACAACCTCCAGGGTTGTTGGTGAGTAATGGTACAGTCTCCCTCCATGTTAACCCACTCCTGACTGTGTTAACACCAGAAAAGGCCTACCAGCTGACAAAGGAAAAGGACAAATGGGAGTCAACCTACCAAAGTATTTTGACTACACAGTGCTGGGGGAAGAAAAGTTTATTCAACTGAAAGGTTTTGCTGGTATTACTCTTTGTGGAGGGCAGGATTATAACTCCTTACAACCTGGAAAATGTAGCTCCCTCCCCCTTTACATGTGAGAATAAAGCACATTATGAAATGGCTTACACAAGAGAAAGAAAAGTCTGTACAAAATGGGTTCTCATAAGTGACTATTGGGTTGAATTGAACCTAAGAGTCTGTTTGTTTGTTGGTTTGTTTTTTAGAGAGAGAGAGAGAGAGAGAGAGAGAGCACAAGTGCCTGCCAGCGCAAGAGGTGGGGAGGGGAGGGGCAGAGGGCGAGAGAGAATCCTAAGTAGGCTCCACGGGGGCCGGGCCGGGGCAGGGCTTGATCTCCTGACCCTGAGATCATGACCTGAGCCGAAATCCAGCATGGGACGTTTAACTGACTGAGCCACCCCAGGTGCGCCCGAGCCTGTTTTTATATGGGTCTAAATATCTTCCCATTCGGTCTGCTTAGTTATTGAAGGGATGGCTGTCCTATTTGTTGAGCACCGCTGCCTTCTACATCTCCTTATTGGTTCCTCTTTGGGCATGAATTCTCACATTTGGAGAAATCCATTGTTTAAATAAAGGGCCACAGCAGCTCCCAATAGGTGGCAAAATGGTCTTCCAACTGCCTCTTGGCCATTTCCATAGGATATCTTGACCCATAAGTGGCTCCCCAAGTTCTAGATAGGAGCGGTTGGTTGGAAGGAAGTTTGAAGCTGTGTTTGCACAATATGATCAGTTAAATGTCAGTCGTCCATACCAAAGGAGGGGAGATTGTGAACTCCCAAGACCCATCTCCCCACTCCTTTGCACTGTCACCATCCAGATTTCATTTCAAATTTAGCACATTAAAAACAGGCTATTTCCCCTTAAAATCAGCTCCTCCCTCCACCCTCTCCCCCAGCTTCCTCACTTGTTTAAAGCTATATTTTCCTTATCAGGTTAAAACATTTGAAATATCTTTGTTAAATTCTCCTCCCCGTTTTCACCCTCCCAATTCATCATCAAATCCTATCAATCCTCCTTTTCTACTGTCTTGGAAACTTCTCTCGTTTCTTTCTATGACTGCCGAACAGAAATAGTAGATGAGGATCCAGCTCTGCAGTTTGGATAGCAAAATGAGAAACACACCACATACAAATGGGAAAAAAAATAAAAAAACAGAAATAGAAATATTTTTTTAAATGCAAAATAACATGGCTCCAAACTAGCCTTATATATAGATCCTGAGGCACTGGCTAGCACTGCCTTTGTCTTGTAGCAATCCAGAACATGGGAGTTCTTCCTCCATTCTGGAGCTGTGGTGAGGCCTTTGGGGTCCAGCTTAGGTTACTCTGATTCCAGCCACCCCTCCACTTTAGGAACAGGAAATCCTCACTTCCAGATGAACTAATCTCCACTCAGAGCATAATGTATATGTATGCACTCTAAACTCGGGTTGGCACAATTTATTGAGTATTTCATCGTAACTTAAACATTTTATATATTTATATTTTACCTCCACCTGGCCAGAAGCTCATTCTTCTGTATTGTTAACTGCCCCTCCCCTTCCCCATAGCAACCAACACAGGGTTCAGCTCCTTGTAGCCTATAAATAAAATGTTTGTTAAATCATAGAGCCTTAGAATTTTAGATTGAGAAAGAATCTTGAGTTCCTCTTGCCCAATCCTTTACTTTATGGATGAAGAAACAGGTCTAGAGAGATTAGTTGACTCTCCCAAAGTCACACAGCTGGCTAGTGACAAAGCGAGGGCCAGAACCCGGGTTGCTCCTGCTTGACGTCTGTACCCTAAATTGTCCTTAGATAATCAGCGACAGAAATATCTGATGTTACACAAGGTCTCCTAGGGATGGTGCTGAGACGGGTGGTCTGCTTTACTGAAACATTTTTAAAGATTCAGTTCATGCCCCTTGCAGGACTGTTCGGAAGGTCTAACTCCTCAGCTCAGTGTGCAGCAGCACTCGCTTTATGAATGCGTCGGCTTCATCCCGGGTCTCCCGACAGGAGGGCGCACCCGGGAGCCCCACACCCACCGGCTCCCCCTCCCTGGCTGCCGTCCGTCACACAGCGGTCAGGGTCTCTGGTCTCTTCTATTGATGCCGGCCGGTGGAGGCCGCGAGAGGGAGGGTCTCAGGCCCCTCGCTGAGGGGGGGGAAGGGACGGGGGGAGTGGGTCTTGGCTTTGCGGAGAAAAAATTCAAGAGCAAGCCATTTAGGGAAAGGGACAAAGGTGTATCTAGAAGAAAGGGGCTACTTCATAGATATAGTAGCGGTCTCTCCTCCCAGGTGAGGAAGAAGACCCCCCCACTTTGCCTCTAACGGTTTTGTAAGTTGTTTTTATTTATTGGCTGACGTATAGAAAGGGGCTTACTGCTTAACTTTATCATTTACACTGAGCGGTGCGTTTTTCTGTTGTCTTAAGGTTGTGGAATTACCCACAGGGAGCAATTTTAAGAATGTCCAGCCTCTATGACTTTTACTGCCAGAGGGAGTCGGGTCTTGTGGTCTTCCATGAGTGGGATCTTGTGACTCTTTTTATGACCTGCTGACTTTTAGGTTAAGGGTCAGCCTAAATACCAAAATGGCTTTACTTTGGTCAACTTGTCTCCCGAGCCTCCCTTCACCACGTGGACTCAGCTCGGAGGATCAAAGTCTGTTTGCTGCCCGGCCCCCGGAGGTGTGCGGGGCGCCGCGAGGACCCGCACGGCCTGAGCAGCGGCCCGGCTACGCCGGGGGAGCCCGCCTGCCCCTCCCCCTCCTGCTGCACGCGGCCCGCGCCCCCTACCCTCCCCCACGACGCCCGCCGCTGCACCCGGCCGCGGCCCCCGGCCCACGCCCGGCTCCTGGAGGGAAAGGCCCCGCCCCCATCTGTTAGAGCCTCGACACCGCCCCCTCCCGCCCCGCCGAGCTTCCACCCAATAGCGAGCGCGGGTGGGCGGAGTGCGGAGGCTGTCGTGAGGGGGTTCTGGCCAATGGGGAAGCGTGCCGGGCCTGGTGGGCGGGGCGTCGAGGCCTTGTCACGCTCGGGTCCGTGTGAAAACGGGGGTTCCGAGTGCAAAGCAAAGTTTTTTTGTAAACCGTCTGCAAAGGCGGGGGGGCGAAGAAGGCGCCGGAGACCGGGCCGAGTGCAGCTGCCGTGGCCGCCGCCTTTTTAGCTCTTCAGGCGTCGGCTTCCCGGTCCGAGCCACAGCTGAAGAGACGAGCGAAGGGAAGACCTGCGCGGAGAGCCCTGCAGATGCTGGGAGCCTTCGTAGCGCGGAGCTGCCCGTCGCCCGCCCCCGCCGCCCGCCTGCTCCTGCTCCTGCTCCGGCTCTTCGTCCCCGGGCTTCGGGAGCCCCAGCGCCCCGCCGCCGCCGCCGCCGCCGCCTCGGCCTCTGCCTCCCCGCTGTGGGTGTGGGGACTGCTGGGGCTGAGCCGGGCCTCCGTGCCGGCTCTGAGCACCGACGCCTGAGGAGCTGCGCGCTGCCGGCCCGCCGGGGACGCCCGCAGGCGCGGGGGCTCGGCGGCTTGACTCCGGACTCGTCCCCGTCCGGCCGCGGAGGCCACTCAGCGGTTTCCCGAACGGCCCGGTCGGGCGGCGACAGCCCCGCGCCGCCCTCCCGCCTCCGCCGCCGGGTCGCCGGCCGCCGGCGACTCGCCGCCACCGCCAGTGTAGCCGCCGGGCCGCGCTCGGAGGGCCCCCTGAGCCGCAGCCATGGGGTGCTGGGGTCGGAACCGGGGCCGGCTGGTGTGCATGCTGATGCTGACCTTCATGTTCATGGTGCTGGAGGTGGTGGTGAGCCGGGTGACCTCGTCGCTGGCGATGCTCTCCGACTCCTTTCACATGCTGTCGGACGTGCTGGCGCTGGTGGTGGCGCTGGTGGCTGAGCGCTTCGCTCGGCGGACCCACGCCACCCAGAAGAACACGTTCGGCTGGATCCGGGCCGAAGTGATGGGGGCTCTGGTGAACGCCATCTTCCTGACCGGCCTCTGCTTCGCCATCCTACTGGAGGCCATCGAGCGCTTCATCGAGCCGCACGAGATGCAGCAGCCGCTGGTGGTCCTCGGGGTCGGCGTGGCCGGGCTGCTGGTCAACGTGATGGGGCTCTGCCTCTTCCACCATCACAGCGGCTTCGGCAACGACTCCGGCCACGGCCACTCGCACGGGGGTCACGGTCACGGCCACGGTCTCCCCAAGGGGGTCCGCGGCAAGAGCAGCCGCACCGGCGACAGCGACGACAACGTGACTCCGGGCGAGCAGAGGCCCGACCAGGAGGAGACCAACACCCTGGTGTCCAATAGCAGCAACTCCAACGGGCTGAAACTGGACCGGTCAGGTGAGGAGAGAGTGGCCACCGCAGGTGGCTGGGTCAGGGGAAGCCTGGACCCTAGCCTGGCCCTGGGCGGGATGGCCCGCACGCCCCCTGCTGCCCGCGCCGCCGCCGCCTCTAGCCCTCCAGGTCCCGCACCCGCGGGGCACACGAGGAAATAGGACCCCTTTCGGCCGGGTGCTAGCACCCGGGGCGCGCGGCTGGAGGTGGCGGTGGGGACTGTAGTTTGGAGAATGGGCAAAGGGTCGGGAGGTGGCCGTCAGCCCGCTGCAATCCACAGCTGCACTTGGCCGCCCTTACGGGTAGTCCTTTCGAGAGACTGTCTGATTTTGGTTTTCACAGAATCAGAAGTGCTTCCTAAGTAAATTTCTTGGCCGCCCCCCCTTGGGAAACGGAGATAATCCCCAATTCATCCTCAGTTGTTGGCCATTTGAAACCTTGCCCTGCCCAAGTAGTTCTTGTGCCCTTTAAACAAGTTTCTCAGTATTATATTCAGAGCTGTCTAGCCATTGACTTTCCTGAGCTCAAAACCCTGGTTAGTGGTTTCTTTTAAGAATGGCAATGTGTATTTCAGTTAATTACCTAAAGTCTGAGCCTAATCCTGCAAATCCTAGATTTAGGACCAGTTTGGTCATGTTTAACATTTCACTTAGGACTTTCCAAAATCATACTAAAAGTGATGGTAACTTATTTATATTTTTTACTGGATGCTTTTCATTCTAAGTATAATTGCTCTTGAAGGCAATTTGGAAAATGTTGAAAGAAAAGACCTGGGAAAAGGAATCAACCAAAGCCCAACTACCCAGGCTCTAATGACGCTAACAGTTTGGTGTATTTCCTTCCAATTTTTTTTCATTTACATTTATTTGCTTAGTGGTATGATACTACATAGACAACTTGTTCTTTTTTGAAGATTCAGGATATCATGTTAATGAAATTGAACTTGTACACTGAAAAGGTTTAATAAACAATTGAATTTCCCCTCACTCCCACTCTGCAAGGTGTTATTCCAAAGAAAATTAAGCTGCTCTGGTGTGTATACAGTAATTCCTTTAAAAGATGGGTACATTTGGTTTAAGAACTGGTAGAGTAGATGAAGATCATTTATTTCGACTTTTCCTGAAGTTTATGATTGTTGATGGGTTTATATTTGATCTATCAGTTTCTAAATCCTCTCCACCAGGAGATTCTGTGGTTTCTATTCATGATAAAAGTTTGAGTTAGCCACAACACCTTCATGACAAAGAGTGACTGGAGCTGTGGGTCAAATCAGGCATTTGTAGTAGACTTCTCCATAGTTGCATTAAGTTTGTGGGAGATAGCATTCAATTTTATGTTTTCTTTTTGTATATGCCAAAAAGCATATAGCAGAATGTTCACAGCACCCCCACCCCCTCGCAGAAAAGATGAACTTTTTTTGGAGGTGGGGAGGTAGGAGGGTGGTTAGAATAGGGAGGCAATAATCTTCCTAATGACTTGATTTAGCCCTGGCCGTTATGCCCTGGCTTGTTCCCAATATGTTAGTTTATACTAAACTGCCCTGGGCACATTTTTAAATTACGTTCCATGAAAAATGTTCACCTCTTTCACTAAAATGGAATTAGATGAAGATGTTTGTATAAACACTTTAAATGTATTTGATACAGCATTTTTTCTTTCTTTGTAGATCCAGAAAAGTCCAGAAATGATGCGGTGGAAGTACAAGTGAATGGGAATCTTATCAGAGAACCTGACCATGTGGAATTGGAAGATGATGATAAGGCTGGACAACTTAACATGCGTGGAGTTTTTCTGCATGTCTTTGGAGATGCTTTGGGTTCAGTGATTGTAGTAGTAAATGCCTTGGTCTTTTACTTTTCTTGGAAGGGTTGTCCTGAAGGGGAGTTTTGTGTGAATCCATGTACCCCTGACCCCTGCAAAGCATTTGTAGAAATAGTTAATAGTACTCATGCAACAGTTTATGAGGCCGGTCCTTGCTGGGTGCTATATTTAGATCCAACTCTTTGCATTGTAATGGTTTGTATACTTCTTTACACAACTTATCCATTACTTAAGGAATCTGCTCTTATTCTTCTACAAACTGTTCCTAAACAAATTGATATCAAAAATTTGATAAAAGAACTTCGAGATGTTGAAGGAGTTGAGGAAGTTCATGAATTACATGTTTGGCAACTTGCTGGAAGCAGAATCATTGCCACTGCTCACATAAAATGTGAAGACCCGACATCATACATGCAGGTGGCCAAAATCATTAAAGACGTTTTCCATAATCACGGAATTCACGCTACTACCATTCAGCCTGAATTTGCTAGTGTAGGCTCTAAATCAAGTGTAGTCCCATGTGAACTTGCCTGCAGAACTCAGTGTGCTTTGAAGCAATGTTGTGGGACACGGCCACAAGCCCCTTCTGGAAAGGATGCAGAAAAAGCCCCAACAGTTAGCATTTCTTGTCTAGAACTTAGTGACAATCTAGAGAAGAAGCCCAGGAGGACTAAAGTTGAAAGCATCCCTGCTGTTGTGATAGAGATTAAAAAAATGCCAAACAAACAACCTGAATCATCTTTGTGAGTCTTAAGAAAGATGTGATATTTGACTTTTGCTTTAAACTGCAAGAGGAAAAAGACTCTATTGAAATTCTAAGTTTGCCAAGTAGTGTAATTGAAGTCCTTGTCTGGTCACACAGTTTAATTCTATTTTTGTAAGAACATAATGGGACTGCCTAAGAGTTCTATATTACAACTTTGTGATTATTAGTGCAGAGTACAGCTATGCTGTAAGAGTTTTGGAAAGCCAGTTTTAACACTATGTTACATTTTTGTTTAAAGTAAGTATAAACCTTATATAACAATGACATTTGATTTCCAGTTTTTCCATGGTAAATTAATTAGGGGGATAAATAAATTAAAATTGTTACTGGAATTCTCTGCTTTTCTTTTCCCCCAGTGTTGTACTTTGTTTTTTAGAATTATAATTACTCAACTTGAAAAATCATCAACAGGTTTGCTTCCTTCGATGTTTTAGGTAATATTTACTTGCCCTCTGAAATCATTACATAGCATGTTTTTCAGAATGACTCATGGATATTGTTAGGAAAAGTTCCTTTTTCTTCTTTACATGGGGTATTTGTAATACTAAAGATCAGTTACTATCCTGGATTCTATATTGCTGAGTATTATTCTAAATAAACAGTTGAGATAATTAACAAGTTGAACTACAGTTTACATATAATAGGGCATACGGAGAGTAAGAGCAGGGGAGAAGGTTTACCAAATTAAATATTTAGATTGTTGTAAGTTAGTATTCAGACATTTTTAAATTATTGGGAGAATTTTAACTCATGTTTTCTTTTACCAAAGTTAGTCTAAAATGTGGACATATTCACCAGCATTACTTTCTCTGAAAGATTGGCATTAGGAACATTGAGCTGAAAGTTTACTTATGAAATATATACGGTAAATATTTTTAAGGATATTAAAGCTAATCTGATAGTTACATGTTAAATGCAAGCTTATTCGTGTAATCTTTCAAATTGTAGATATTTAAGCAAAACTTAAAGAGTCATTTCATGGTGACCAATCGTGAATGGATTCAAATGGAGCTTTTTTCGAGTACAACCAGCAGTTCTTGTGCTTTGCCCGGAGCCATTGACTTAGGTAGGAGAAAAAGGAAATCTAATGGTTAATGCAGTTTGGATATTAAATTCTTAAAAAACAAAGTTAAGGCAAAATTAATAATTAAGATTCTGTAGGTCATCCTGTCCTGACATTGCTCAGATCTTGCAATAGTGGCTTATTTTGTAAGATGCCACAGTATCTACGCAGGAAATTGTTCTTGGCTATTTCATTGTTGCTGTGGGTTTCGAATCCATACACAAATATTATTTAAGGATATTTAAGTTATATTTTTCTTGACAGAGAGGGGTTATGCTTTGTGAAGAAACTAGATTTTTGTCCTCATAAGGATGAATATTAATATCAGTTATCATGTATAGCTCTATTTTTCTAGAAATAAGGTATCCTGACTACTTCAGTAACTTTTATAGCTGACTACTTTTGGGATGGCTATCTTTTGGGATTTGAAATAATTCATTGTTTAATGGGTCTTAAGATGAAAGTGTTGGCATTGGACAGTTAACTTTTTAAAGGGATCTTTTGTGGTAGATGGTGTGTTCTTTTTCTAGTATAAGCCTATTGCTGGCAATGGGCCTATTTAAGAACAGCCGATTTTTCCAATGAGAATGAGGTAATTTTAGGAACACAGTTTGTAAGTTCACATTTGCTATAATGGGCCAAAACCATAACCCACCAATTTGCAATACATCTTGATCTTTTAATACTCTTATCTGATAATTGTGTAATTCAATTCCTAAACTGGAAGTTACTTTGAATTTTGCAAAAAAAATTTTTTAAACATGAAATTCGGGAACCTCATATGGGTAAACTAGAGAGCTTCAAACTGTACTGTATGACGTACATTCCTGATTCAACACTTAAAACTACAAACCATTTTCTTAAGATCTTAAAACAGTTTATGTTACAGAAACATTTTGGTAATGACACATACAATAGGATAACTGGTAAAATACATTTCAGTGGGGTTTTCTTGACAAATGCTTTATTGGGTCTTTCTTAAAGGTTGTATAATGTATAAGACATCAGCTAAATGAGGATTTTTTTAATGGTGTATAAGCATGGGACAAGGGCTTTTTTTTTTTTCCCCAGAAGTGCTTTGAAGGTAACAGCCTTTAGATTTCAGTTATTTCACTTTTCATAATTTTTAAATTGCTTATACGTAACAAAGTGGTACCATAGAATTCTTTTTTCAAAGGACTTTGTCATAATAGCAAAATCCGTGGGCACTGACTCACCTTTTGAGTTTTAGCAGAGAATTATTTATTTCTTGACAATGCACTTTCTAACCCATTTTTAGCATTATCTTTTAAAAAATGCTTTTATATTTAAATATTGTGGGATTTAAGTGTCATTTCCAAAATAGCTTATTCCTTCCTGAAAGAAAATGAGGGAAATACCCTGAATTTTTAGGAGACTTAAACCCAATATTTAAATATGCTGTTTTATAGCAATGCATCAATTTTAGGAGGTGCATCTCTCCTGCTGGCTCTTTTATATTTGAGCAAGATCAGTGTATTTAGAATATGTGTTTAGAAACTTGTCTGTTGTCTCAGTTTAGTGAAAAGGAGGTGCTGCATGTGCCTGAAATAAAACAACTCCCAATTTTTCCAAGCCAAATGCCGCCTTAGTGAGGAGAGATTTCCTTCTCTGTTGCCACCTTTCAGCTTCTGTGATTGTTTAATAAGGGTTTTTTGAAGGGCATCTGCATTGTAAAAATACGGACTAGAACCTTAAAAAAAAAGTCAAAAAAGGGCAAAAACTTTGGTGTATGAATTTTAGCATTTTAGAAAACAATGTTTGACTAACTAAGGTATGTAATTTGAATAGGACAAATTTCCATCAAGAGCACCTTGGAAAAATCTCAGTAGGTAGAAGACTATGTTAACATTTTTGTATCCTGTATCCTATTAACATGCTCAGTTAATTTTGAATTTTTGAAAGTTTTGAGGGAAAAGGGCCTATGGAACGTAATGTGAAGTATTTAGTAGGCTAACTGGTATTAAGTTGAAGATTCTTTTACTGTTTATAAGCAGATATCATTTGAATGATATAAATGTCATTTACCTGCTGTCTTAAGATTTTCACACATATACAAATAGGGAGAATAATTCTACAATATAGAAATATTTATTTTAATAAATACTCAGTTTCAGTTAAGGCATAAAACAGTGTTAAAACTCTTGGGAAGGTGGAGGTTTTCTGATTGCTTTTTAAATGGAAAACTGTCAAATACAGTGTTTGGCCATCTGAAACGGGAATTGTAATAGCACTATTTTGATGTAGCTCTACCAATACTATGTGGCGATGCTATTTTGTTTTACTAACTAGCTCTGGAATATTTAGCAGTCATTTTCACTGGCACAAGAGCCTTTTGTATGTCATTCAGTTTAAACTTTTAAACCAAAAATTTTGTGGTCCAGTGTCTTTGGCAAAAAGATGCTGAAGGGAATGTAACATACAATTATTATGTGGCTATATATAAAAAGACACAAATTGCCGTGTTATGGTCCTGCCTTGAAACAGCACAATGAAGTGTATCAATGTATTCTGTGATTCTTTATGAAACTTCCATGTTGTGTTGTTTTGTGTCGACCATAGCCTGTCCTTTGGGCCAGATGTGGCACAGTTAAATGCAATTATCATCTCATTAAATGCAGATGCAGATAAAATGTCCTTTAGTGCTGCAACATTTTACCTAACTTTTTGTATGTTTTATGACCGTGCGTTGTTTTCCAAAGCTGTTCCTACCTCATCATGAGGCTTTATGGATTGTTATGTATTATAAATGTTCTTTATGAGACAGACTACTGTGTTTCTTCTCATTTATTAAAAGTTAAGTAGAAAAATAAACTAATTTTAATATCTATTTCATTGTTTTGTGCATGTGGCCTCCCCTCCTATACTAGGTTGGGTTATGTAGACTAAAGGTGTTTTAAAGGGAAATCGCGACTTAAGTGTTGCTAGGTGTACAGGATGACCAGGCTATAGGATAGTACTGTGGAAGGAAAAAAATGGGCAAAAATTGCAATAGAAATCGAAAGGGTAACACAGCAAAGCCTCACTAACATGAAATATTCAGTGGCTGTGAAATTGTTTTGTTACAAACATTAACATTACATTATGTAATTACAGGTTAACCTGCTTCTTCTGGTTCTTGCTATTTGTAAGCATAGTTACTAACAAGGATTATTAAATACTTTACAATTTCCTTAAAGAACTTGTGCTTCTGGCTAGGAGAGAAGCAGGTAAAAACTGCATAAGAAAAAAATCACTTGGCAGTAAATGGCAATAGATAAATAGAATTGATAAATCCAGTAATACTCCAAAGAAGGGATGAAGATCTTTGGAAGGATTCATGTAGGTTAAAATTGAAAGGGATGGGGGCTGAGAGGCAAAGGGGCATAGAATGGAGGATTGAGAATCAAGAGGGTAGGACCTTGTTAAAGAGAAGGTTGAAGGGCACCTGGGTGGCTCAGTGAGTTAAGCGTCCGCCTTCGGCTCAGGTCAGGATCCTGGGGTCCTGGGATCCAGGCCCGCGTCGGGCTCCCTGCTCAGTGGGGACCCTGCTTCTCCCTCTCCCTCTGCCTGCAGCTCCCCTTGCTTGTGCTCTCTCCTTGTGTCAAGTGAATAAATAAAATCTTTAAAGGAAAAAAAGGTTGAAGTGCCATGTGCCATGTCAACCAGTTTGAATTTGGTTTTATGGGAATGGAGGAAGCCTTCAGTGTTTGGATAAATGAGAAAGTGGAAAAGGATACAGGATAGATCTGGAATGGCAGACAAAGTGAGAGAGGAAGACAAATCCATCTAGTAGGCAGTCAATGCTGAGGAAATGAACTAGTTCTCAAGTATACGTGCCCACATCTACATATACCACATTTCAGTTGATTCCAAATACATCCTTTTTTTATACTTCAACATTTATGAAATCAGAATGCATAGATAGAATCAGTAGTATCTTACAACTGTTGGCCAACTTACTTTCTTATTTGGATGTGTCTTACTATTAAGGATTCAGAAAAGAATTCTCAGGCAATATGGTCTTTCAAGAAGTATTTGCCAACATTCCCTAGAATATAATTTCATGTACTATGCATTGCACATCTGGATGAAAGCTGTTGCTTTTGAATTAGACGAAAATAAAAAGTCAGGGACAACACTTTTTTTGAAGAATTTCATGGACATTTCTGTGTCTTCAGAATTGACCATTTTTGCTCCCCCACTGTAGGCTATATAGCCTTTTTTTTTTTTAATCAAGGAATTTATGGCACTTTGTTGCATTTGCTTATTTATAAACTTGTTTCACTTTGTTGAACAAATGTTGTTAATAACAAACTTTGTTACAAACTTTTAGATCAAACTGTGAGGTCGGAGTGTCTGTATTTCCTCAGGATTTAGCACAGGGACTGGCACACTCTAGGACTTCAAAGGTGTTTGAATGAATATTGAGGAATGGTGGGACTGGAAGAAAAACTATTCGTAGCTAAAATACACTGAGCACTGAAGATATAGTAATAATACTATTAAGAGCTATAATATTCTGAGCACTTACAAAAATATACTAAGGGCCACACCCTTTCATTGAATTCTTACAAACCATTAGGCATATTTCATTATTCCCATTTTACAGACCTATTCAGTACCTGACCCGAAGTCATCTAGCTAGTACGTGATAGAACTGGAATTCTGCAAAGGGGTCCACCAAGTAGCTTGCTTTCCCATCGCTTCAAATCAACAACCAACTTAAGTAGATTCAAAATGAAGAGTTCTCTAATTTTCATCCGAGCAGCAACAGAAAGGCAAAAGAAATGAGGAAAATAGATTTTAAAGCATTTGCTATTTATTTAAAAAAAATCATGGTAGTCACCACATGAAGAATCAAAACTTTTCTACCTAAGTTATTAGACTTTCTTACATTATGGTTTAATGTCATTTTTGTTTTGAATTATGTGAGGGACAGCAATAACAGTCTTTTTCAGAATTCGGGGCCTCCCCTGGCTTTAATCTAGCCTCGTGGACGACTGTTAATCGTTACAAACTGGTAGTATTTTCACCTAAGCTACCATATAGCCTTGTCTCAGGTATTAGCTGCTTCTGCTAGAACACAAAAACTGTAGCTTACGTTTCCTTTAATGCTGAAAACAGTGGGTCTTTTGGGGTAAGAGTAGTAGAGGTGATTGAATGAAGTCAATGTGGGTGAGGAGACACAGGCAGAGGACCATCTGCTGCAACAGGGGTGCTGTTAGCATTTGGGTGAGATAATTTATCTGAATCCAGGAGTGTCCCATGTACTGAGTTTAGAGACCCTGGCCTCCTTCCACACAAATGCTGGTAGTTCCTGCCCCCCCCACCCCCATCAAGACAACCTGTTTTAAATGTCCCCAGGGGAGGCAGAATGGCCCATGGGAAACCATAAAAGCTAACCAGTGAGAACTCCCTCCTCCAGTCTCTCCTACACAATCCAAATGCTACATCTAGTCTCCTCCATTTACACAGACTGGTACCAGAGAGGCTTCCTGTTTTGTTCAAACCTCAGTTTCAGGAACCATGCTTCCCTGCTGCACAGTCACATAGAACGTAAAGTCTAAAGGTGTGATTTCTAAGACTTAACAACCATTGATAGGACCAGGTAGACAGGAACTCCTCTGATAGGTTAAGAAGATTGTTCTGCCCCAGAAAGCAATGCAAATGCGGCCACCTGATTTGGTCGTGGAACCCTTGGCTATCTCTTTTGAAGTATAAAGTAAAAATGCGTTTCTGGCAACATAAAAGGGGTTAAAACCAGTGCCTTTTGTTAAAGTGCAAATTAGAATATTCAAATAGAAACTGAGAATGATTTACGCTATTTTTTTTTCTAATGGTGAAAATGTCTAGGACAATATTGGACAAAACTTATCAGGACTTTTTATGGCCGGAACCAACAGTGACCTTCCATGACACCTCTGGAAGGTGATAGTGATGCAGCAGTGTTTATTGTTAAAACTGTTGGGTGCTGAGTTTCTACACATTATTCCAAGTCAATGAGCTGAAAAAATTAGGTAGCATATTATGGTAGAATAATGATCCTCTAAAGATGTTCATGCC